AAATTTGCACAGCGGGCAGTGCAGTGAAAACAGCTCATAATCAACTCATCACCTCTCATCATTGCTAGGATCAAATGCAAATGGGAAAGAATGCCACTTCAGTCATTGCTAGTGAAAATTAGCATCTGTGACACTAATGGTGTCTCATTTAGTATGCACTTTAGTTTTTAAAAAATGGTAAAAAGGAAAAGCTATTTCCAGAACTGCCATTATTCCTGTTCCCTATAGTAGTGGTATTTGAATCTTCTTTATTCAAAGAAACACCTCAGTTAAAATTTATTAACAAATATCATTAATCCCAAACATCTAAAGTCCAAATTGTTCTAATTACAGTCTTAGAGTTTCAGTTTGGGGGTCGATCTGCTTTCTAGTTTTGAAGTTTCTACCACATTCCCCATCCTGAAACAAAGGCTTACTGTTACATAACAACGTCCTTCTGTAGGGATTCTTGTGTACTGTTTACCAACATTAGAATTCTTTTAAAAATAAAACTTAAAAATGAATTATGGGGGTCCACCCTGGTGGTGCAGCAGGTTAAAACACAGCACTAAGAAGCTAAAACCACTTCAACATGAGTTCAATCCCCACCCTGGAGGTGACCCACATGATGGGGCAGACATCTCCTGACCCGCCCGCTGCTCCCCTCAGCAGTGTACTTGTCAGTCGGCCTGTTCTGCTCCCCACTCTATCCCTGGTGAATCCTCTCACCATCCCTGCACCTCTGGCCTGTACTCCAGTTCTGTATGCATAAATAAATAAGTCTTAAAAAAATGAATTACGGTTGTATTTACATGTGTACATAACAAATTTCTTACAAATACACTAGAATGATGAATTCTTACAAACACCAAGAATGATGAAAGTACATGGCACTAATATTCACATAAACCAGGCTGCATTGAGCAAAATCAGGAAACTGTAGGTCAGAGACATGTGATTGTGTCTCTCACAACAGATTGTGTGTGATGATTTGAACATTTGAATATTATGAAAATTTGTGTTACTGTTATTTTGCAATTTTAAATATTGATGTTTAGGTAAATGCCTGGAGGGATTTTGTAAGTGGAATTCCTGCATTTAATCAGATAGAAATAGATGACCTCTAATTCTTTTCAGTTTACAAAGGTTCTTAAAGATACGTTCTCCATGGTTTCCTTAAAATATATCTGGTAGTTAAGAAATAGAAATAGAAGCATAATCTATAGCGTCTTTGCATGGAATGGCAATGTGATAATTAATAACAGAAGTACTGGAAATTGATATATGTGTTTCCTGTCACATAGTTTTTTTAATCTAACTATGTGTTTTTGCTCAGGTTAATTAACCTTTATGCCATGTCATATTCTCAGAGCTTTTATAGATACAAAATAAGTTAATGTACAAAAAACTCTGAGGAGAGCAACTGGTGTATAGTAAACTCACAACAAAAATAGAAAATTTAAAATAAAACACTTTAATTGGAAAATATTCAAGAAAAGTTATGCTATATTATGCATTCATAAAGTATAATGAGATCATATATCAAAACTGAATCCTAGATATGGATCACATTTTTAAAAATCACTATCAGTGGCCCTCCCTGGTGGCGCAGTGGGTTAAAGCACAACACTGAGAATCTAAAGCCTCTTCCGCATGAGTTCGATCCCCGCCTGCCCCGGAGGTGACCACATGGCGTGGCAGACCTCTCCTGACCCGCCCGCTGCTCCCCTCAGCAGTGTACTTCGTTGATCTGCCTGTTCTGCTCCCCACTCTGTCTCTGGTGAAGCCTCTCGCCGCCCCTGCACCTCTGGCCTGTACCCCAGTTCTGTATGCATAAATAAATAAATCTTTAAATAAAAAAAAAATCACTATCAGTAGTGGGCACTAGTGATGAGAAGGTGGAAACAAAGTTCAAGAATAGAAGCACAGTACCTTCATGTAAGCCTGTTGGGAGCTGACAAATCTAAATGTAGCATACTTAACCCCTAGTCACCAAATTTCTTTATTTAGGGTTTACCTATACACCACAGAGAGTTCTGAGACACTAATTAAATTTGTTGGAATTTATTAACATTCTAATGCACATAATGGGTTTCTTTTGCAATAATTCTTCAAGTTTCCCTTAGTGGAATACCTTTGATATGTCCCTATCACCACCAAATACAAATCTCTTATAGTAAATATGAATAGTATTTGTGCAGTTTGTATGTGGTCTTTGAAGGAAGGCATCTCTACCAAAAATGGAGAAACAGGACAAAAGAGTGAAAAAAGAAGATATTAATGATAAAATTAAAGTTTAAAACAATTTTTTGACTTGTGTTTCGATTTATTTTGATTTATGGACATTTTTGTTGTTAAATTTTGGAATAAAAATATAAATTATTTTGGATTATTTTGATTTGGATTATTTTGATTTATAATCTCTATTATTACACTTTTATCTAGAAATATTTTGAAGATTCTTTCAACTGTAGAACCTATTTTTAAAAACCGATGAAAAAGCCCTTTCCACTTATTTCCTTTTAAAATGAATAGTTTCATAGGTTTTCTTTGAGGTAATATTAGGTAGAGTATGCATTCCAATTCACCATTTGAAATGGGTACCTGTTCACAATAAATATAGTACCAAAATTTAACATACAACGTTGATTAAATATTTCCCTCAGTTTTTTTTTTTTTAAAGATTTATTTATTTGTGCATATACAGAACTGGGGGTACAGGCCAGAGGCTTAGGGGCGGCGATAGGGTTCACCTGAGACAGAGTGGGGAGCAGA